TGGATTATTGTTCTGAAGCTGGTAATTACCATTTCCTGGTTTGGATGAAATGGGAAACTGTGACTAATGAGAGACTTTCTGTTTCAACCGTAATTTGCACAAAGGAGCCCCATGCATGAGCAAAAAGCATATGCCTATCCGGACTTAATAAGCTGAGATATTATTGTCCAAATCAGGCCACAAAATTAAAGTGGCGAGTGGTGGGAGCAAGAATAGAGAAATAGCCAATGGAAAATGTCAGTTGCTTTGGCACCATTTGGGTTACTTTATATCTCTATGCAAGCACTTGCCGGCACACAAGTAGAGCTAAAGCGTCTGGGATCCTTGCTGCACAGGTCAGCCCTTGCCTTATCAGGGTCTTGACTGTAGGGGTTCTGTAAATGCATTAGCCAAACACACTTACAGACCCTTTTGCAGATCTTCCTGTGTTGAACAGCCCCGCACATTAGTATCTTGGGAATATGGGCTTATGTCTTCTGTACACTTTAGTTCTACTTGTGTGCAAGCATGAATTCCGGTTTAGGTGGATGAGAATGTGAAGTGAGGAGATCTGATTAATTCAGGTAATTCAGTCATGAATTATCACTTTCTGTATAGTATTACAAAACAATGTCCCTTGATGTGAAGAGTTTAGTGGGTTCAACATCAACTTTACTCCTTTGCCAAATGGGAAAGTATAAGTAGTGGAGCATGGGGTTTCCTATTTGATAGGCAAAGGAGCCAGAGAGCATTTCTTGGTTTCATGATGGCAAGGATGATCTTGGTGTTATATTTAGCTATATTTTTATATTTTAAAATAGTCTAATACTTTGGTCATGTTAGAAAGTTAAAATTGTCGCATCATTATCTCTAAGAAACTGCTGCTTACACCAAATAGATAAATGTCCATCAGTAAAGTGTTACCAGGAAAACTCCCAACATGGAGAATTGTCCCAGCATGATAATTCCTTGTACTAGAACTTCCTGATAGGATGAAAGTTAGGAAAGTGCTTTCAGTTTGTGCCAAATATATATGAACAAATGACATCAGAATTTAAATTCTTCAAATCTAGCAATGTTATTAATAGTTACAAACAGGTTCTATTCAGATTGCATCTTTAAAAAAAACCCAAATAAGCAATGTAATTGAGCTATGCTTCAGCACTCTCAGATTTAAACCGTTTGCCCAATGTAGATTTTGAGCCCTATCTGAAGTATGTTGCCTCCCTGCCTCCCCACCCTCTCCATGGTTGACTGTACTTTGTTTAAAAGTACTGCTAGAGAAATCAGGCATGTTGTAATAAAGACTTTATAAATGGGGTGATAGTAATATAAAGGAAATGACATTTCATTTGATAGAATAGATTTATAAATACTGAAGAGTACTTGAATTTTTAATAGCTATTCAGATGAATCAAGAATCCATTGCAACAGCTGTGGAGGACATTGTGAAGTATGCTCGGGTCAGATATTCATTAATTTTTAAAAATGTTACAATCAGATTAAACAGGGCTGTTTGGCAGATGCTGCTTTGAAAATCAGGGCCACATTGCATAGCAAAGTTGGCACAATTTTATTCATTCTTCTTACAGCTCTAGCAGAAGTGTGACATGTGTAAAGAATCTGCTTGGGATATTTAAAAAGTAATACACATGGACCATGCAGGACTGCTGGCCCTAAGTCCAGTGGCTCATTAATACATTGTAGGGGACTCTTGTCAGTAGAACTCTGAAGTGCTTGAATGTTTACTTTTAGTTATTTTAGAATCAGTCAGTGCTACTTTGTCTCATCTAATAATAGTGAAATTAAAGGACAGATGGACGGATAACAGTATACTGGATTCAAGACTTAATTTATAAAATTTGCATATAGCAAGCAGTTAAACTGTTTTGTTGTTTTTGGCTTCTTTAGGAAATTTTGGGAAAGGTTTATTGCCTTATGTCATGATAATGAAAGTCTTCATGGTATCACGTTTGAGCAAATCAAAGCTCAGTTAGAAGCTTTAGAATTAAAGAAAACCTATGTGTTGAATCCACTGGCTCCTGAGTTTATTCCACGGGCTCTGCGACAGCAGCATTCATCAAATGCCAGTAAATCACAGCAGTCTCCACCAAAGGTAAAGTGCCAAGTTATTAAGACATAGTAAGAAACTGTGAAGAAGTAGCATGAAATGACGCATATACCAGTTCTTCTGTATCCTTGCATGAACATGTAATTAGTGTAGGAACAATACTTAGATTAAGGAAATCATAATATAGCTGAGTATATTAATGTGTAGTTTGTATTCAGACATTGTTTTTGATTTTGACCAGAAAGACATCAGAAGACATTACAATTAACTTAGCTGCTAAAAGTAATACAAGAAGTAATGTTCAGTAACTTACAGTTTCTGGGAGGATATGGTCAAAATGGTTACTTGTAGCTCAAACTCAGAGCTTGAAATCTCTTAATAGTATTGCAATCTTTATGTTTGCATTTAATTGTCATAGGGCATTAATTGATGTATTTCTTTAATTGATCATGTTTGTATTAAAATGGGTTGCATTAGACCCTTGGGAAAAACATTCCATTTTGTAAGAAAGCATTTCAAAATTGTATGTTTCTGTTTCAAGTTAATATCTATCTATATCAGGTTTTCAGTTTAATACAGTTTTTCCTTTATTTGACAGGACAGAACAGGGGGAAAATTTTCTTGGTGATCCTTTCGAAAAGAACTTTTATAAATGGAAATAGTAATTTATTTTATCAAGATTTATTATCTTCTCCAATACAATGAAAATTTTTAAAACGCTTCCTGATGTATTGAAATGTTAGACTTTTAAGAAACCACAGGTCCAAAGGCTACTTTCAATAGCCATATTTATACAGTTTCCATTTTTGCAGAGGTTTCAGTATGAAATACAGTTAGAAAGTTTGTCATCTTGCTTTTTAATTCGTGGTTAGAATCTCATTTTTCTGACACGCATTGAAGCATAATAGGGAAAAATGATTTTCTAAGACACAAAGAAATTATGTTAAAGGGTGCAGTTAGTCATGAAATTACTGTTGAAACCTACACTCTTCATACAGATTTTTTTTTCTTTCTTCTCCCAGGGCTTAGGAAGTACAGAAGTACATGCTAAAAGACAAAGATTCATGTTGCCAGTACATCTAAAGTTTAACTTGATATTTAAGGACTAAACTAGGATGTTATTTATGCACAGATGTGGGTTCAAATGTTTGTGAGAATACAGAATAATGGAGAATACAGAGTGGGGGGTGGGTGAGGGATGTGAACAGGAAGATTAGCAGGAGGAATGGGTTGAAATATCCCTCCATTGTGGACTAGTATCACAAGGGTCAAGTATATTTTTGTTGCAGTGCTTAGTTTGGCTCTAGAAGTGCTCCCCTCCTGCTCCAACTAAATTCATTATCTTGGGCTTTTATATTTTCATTTGCATTGATGAGTTGTTCCAGTGAGCTCCAGCCTTACTTCCAAGTTTGAAACTGCTAGGAATGTCCCAGGACTTAAGGAATTTTCCCCATCTGCCCCTTCCCCTCTCTTGAGAATAGGGAGAAAGTCTGAGAGTAGTTAGGCCATTGTGTAGACACAATCAAATAAGCTCTCCTCCACTTGTTCCTGTTCTGAAACATGAGAATGGTAGACTTTCTTGGTCATTGTGTTGCTAAACCAGTAAATTCTCTACCTCCCTTTCCTCTCTTATTTCCTGTTCTATAGCAGGAAATGGTGGCAGGGGATGGCTATGTATTAGTCATATCAGGAAGCATTTATACTCTTTGAAGTTCCAAACTTGGAGCTGAGAAGGAGAATAGGAGATTGTCATTGGCCTTGTGCAGAGGCAAAGAGGAACAAGGAAGAGCAGGATCCTGGAAACCACAATATTAGCTGATTGCAAAGGAGTGCAAATCAGTATCCATAATTTGATAGTACTAAATACTAAGTGCCTCCTTGGCAGAAAACTAAATGGCTAATCATAAATGCAGGAGAATTAACACTGTTGGAATGATAGCTGTCAGATGAAGCAGTTAACTAACCTTCTAGGTAGTAAAAGTAATGGCACTGGTATGGAAATTAGGTATTGGAATATTTTGGTTTTTGAAGGAATGTGTCCCAAACTTGAGTTAAGGTGGAATGAATCTGTATGAAAGGGTGAAATTTATAGAAACTATTCTATGGGATTCAGGGGTTTCAATAGTACTAGCCCTTCTGTATTAACATAGCATAAAAGTACTGCACAGTAAACAAAGCTGTGTTAAGAAATGATGGATATGCAACCAGTCTTACCTTAGCTCAGGTTTGGTACATGCTTATATCTGGTTTGCACCCTTAGCAGCATTATTTTTAGACATCTTGAAGGCTAGGTGATTGGCCTTCACACTGACCATATTTGCATAGTGTGGAGGACCTTGGCTTGCACTATGCCAGAGTTGCTTCTATTCCCTTCTAATGTCAGATAATGTCAGTTTAAAAACCTGGATCAGATCCTAGTCATTATTCTGCTTTGCCAACTGAGAATAAACTGGAGTTCCCTGATTTAGATACAACAGGGAATGCAGGCTTATTTCATAACAGGATCTCTATGCCAAAGACACTGACTGATTGGGAGATGGTATGGATAAGGAATATAAATGTACTTTATTGATCCTCCCCCCAAAATAATGGCTTGGATCCAAAGGACTATAAATGGAGGGAAAAATGCACCCCTCTGTGAACTCTTGGAAAATAAGTAGCAGAAGACTAGCTTCATAATAAATCAGCAGTGCAGCACTTGTATGAGAAATGTTGTGAATAAGGAAGGAACATGTTGTTGCATTAAAACTTTTATCCACAAAAGAGCTTGTTCATAGACTTGTGCAGGAATTTGCAAAATAGAAGCACTTAGTTGGATTTGCAGTCACCTTTCTTATGCAGTGACTAAGCTAGTGCTAATGACAGCCCTAGCATGAGCAGAAGAATCTTTCCAGTGTGACTTAGAATCCAAGGGAATATTTTAAGTGTTGCTTAAATGTAGTCATAGCCAGATGTCAGAGAGCAATGAATACATGTGCCAGAAAATGCCATCAGAAAAAATGGCTTAGCTGAATAGGGGAACTTTTTATAAAAGAACACAGTGAAATTGTTCCAGGAGAAATTAGTTTACAATTTATTATTTGTAATAATAATAATACTTGCAATCAGTAAGCTAATTTATTGTAAAACAACTTCCTTGGTAGCTGCCATCAGCAAACCAGAATGTATCAAGATGAATAGAGAGAATTCTGGATTTGATGGCTTAGAGATGAAAACAGCACCTTTAGGGTGGCAGTCTTGCCTCATGTTTCCTACAAGTTTTAGTGTGTCCAAGACAGCCTAGCTGGCTGAAAAGAAGTTGAGAGTTGTATGGAGTGTTCCCCCCCCCGCCCCCTGTATAAATATGCATAGGTTTGTGCCCTTATTCATCTTTAAAATGTCTGTTTGATTTCACGGAGTATCCCAGTTACTCTGGAAGGCTATATTAAAGAACAAAACTGCACTGTAAAATTAAGAACCACCATTAAAAATAATTGTACAAGATAAAAACATCAGGTGATGGAATGCTAAAATCATGAGACCAGACTGCCTTCAAATCCATTGCTCAAAGGCTTGTTGTTTACAATTCAAAATATGGCTTTTTAAAAAATAAAATAATAACTGGCAAAATAAGTGAGAAAGCCCATCTTGTGGGTAAAGTTGTTTAGTAGACATGCAAAGCTGTAATACTACCATGTGGTGGTCAGATGTTTAAAGTATAATTTGTTTGCTTTGTTTAAAAACTTTAGAAAGCCATTATCTTTATGAATTAACTGGTGAAGCAGTATTCATTCAAAACTTTTATATGCTGTCCTCTATGTATGGCATCTCAGGATGGCTTACAAGGTGGTTTTCCCCACTTCTTACTCCATTTTATTCATAGGTCACTCTTTATACAATCCACTTGTCTATAAACAGATCATTGATTTATGCTATCAGACTGCTGGAAAACTGAATAGCCCTTTCCCTGGGGAAGTAATATTCTTAAGCATCAGTGAGTTTTAAAAGTTGGTGGTTGGCAGCATATTGAAAAACTGGCATCAGGAAACCTCCATCTTCCAAACTACCCCTGTTGTCCCTGTTGTGATGATAAAATATTGCAGCTGAGTAGCATGAAATGTTGGGTGTAAATAGGGAGACTGATAACAAGGTACTCCAGGACAATAACCAGCATACACTTGTAATTCTCATTACTTCTTTTATATGAAGCATGTAGGTAGAATGACTTACCACTTTTTTCTTTTTTCCCCTTTTTTTAGGTGAAGGGTCATCATCATAGTCAAAGTGACCATTTTCAGAGTGATGGAATTGGTAAGTGCCTGGGAAGGTCTTGTTTAATATGAATAAATTCTTAAAGACTGATTGCAGATTTGCTTCTTTTCTCAGTGAAAATAAATGTGTTCTTGGGTAAGTGAGGCAGAAGGGGAATGATTGGATTCTGTGCTATTCATACTGTGAAGAAGAGGGATCACCAAACAATATATCTCATGGTATTTGTATGTTTGAGTGCTCTAGACTTGGCAAATCAAATGAATTCAAAGGAAATCAAGGGAGATCCTATATTTAAATATTACTAGAATTTCCAGTTTGTCCATTATCCCGCCTCCAACATGATGGAAGTGGAGAATGCACCCAGTCTTTTCTTCGGGCTAATTCAATGGGAAAACAAAACATCTGAACAGGAACATAGAGCCTCTGTAATATTTTAGGAGATAAAAATGAACATTGGTTTAAACTTGGTGGTTCTTCCTAAGGCTCCCTGATCTCCAGGGTAAGCAGAGAGTACCTAAACTTTAGTTTCTTAAGCATTATTCAAGCTTACTGAAGACATGAATTCCTGCATGTGAGAAAATAAAATCTATGCAGAAGTACAGTGGTGTCTCAGGCAGAACGTTCTCTTACATGGTTCCTATTCTGCAACATATTTGGTAAAGGTAACGGTAAAGGTTTCCCCATGACATTAAAGTCCAGTCATGCCTGACTCTAGGGGGCGGTGCTCATCTCTGTTTCCTAGCCGAGGGAGTCAGCATTTACCTGCAGACAGTCTCCATGGTCATGTGGCCAGCATGACTAAACACCAAGGTGCACGGAATGCTGTTACCTTCCCACCGAAGTGGTACCTATTTATCTACTTTCATTAATATGCTTTCGAACTGCAAGGTTGACAGGAGCTGGGACAAAGCACGGGAGCTCACCCTGTCTTGCGGATTCGAACTGTCAACCTTTTTGATCAACCAGCTCAGCAGTTTAAACCACTGTGCCACCCGCTGTCCCTAACATATTTGGAAACTGCACCTAAACGTGTTAGTGAGGGGAAAGCCAGCTTTCTGAGTTCTCCATAACCATTAATTTTTCTTTATTTTCTAGTTCAGCCTAATCCTTCCGTCTTAATTGGAAATCCTATCAGAGCATATACTCCTCCACCTCCACCTGCACCACCTCCTGGGCCTCATCCCAACCTTGGGAAATCTCCTAGTCCTGTTCAAAGAATTGATCCTCACACTGGGACAAGCATTCTTTATGTACCTGCTGTTTACGGAGGAAATATGGTCATGTCTGTGCCTTTGCCAGTAAGTATCCATTTCATGTTATTAATTAATTAATTAATTAATTAATTAAAACATTTCTATGCCACCCCATTCGCTGAAGCCTCGGGGCGGCTCACAACATAAAATAAAATACAAAAATAACAATATAAAAATAACAATATAAAAATAACAATATAAAATAAATAACAATATGAATTATTATTATAAATTATATAATTTATAATTATATAAATTATTCCATTGTCACTTAAAACTGCCTCATTTCTATAGTTAATAGGGTCCCCTCTCTTCATTTTATTTAGGGGAAGATTGGGAATATATTAGTTTATAGGTACAGTTATAGGAAGCACAGAAAGTTACTTTCAAATACTTGAAAGTTTGAATTCAGATGGTCAAGGTACCATAACAAAGAGGTTGCAGGCTGCTAAGACAGGTGAGAGGTTTTCTTTTTATGGAAGTATTTATACCAAAGTTCTTCTAAAGGTACATCTGTGCCCAGAAAATTTGTAACTGAAAACATTTAGGAGTTCATTTGTCAGAAGTTCTGACTGGATGATCTTTTTCGAGCCTTTGTTAACAAAAACATTGCAATGCTAATTTTAAAAATCTTTTAGTCTGTTCAGCTGGTTGCCATTGAGGCCTGCACTTACTTAGCACCATTGATGGCAGCATCAGTAGTACCCACACTATTCTCTGGGTTCTAGTTGCACCTCATTAAAAAGCCTTGGAAACCAATTTTGAAAACCCTGTCGCATACCTTGGACAAATTTCCTTTTCCCGTTTTCTCCTTATCCTCACCAGATCTAGGGAGGGGGTTTTCAGAGGGGATCCTAACATGAGAAGAGTTTACCATAGCAGCAGCATGATGGAGACAGGTTCTTATCTTCTGGTTGTATTTCAATTGGAGTCAGATGTTTTTCTAGGCTGAGAAATGGCGATACCCAGATCTTTTAAACTATGTTTCATGGACTCTCTCCTGCATTCCTGTACTCACAGCAAGACTACTGTGTGGTGTCACATGGCCTAGCTGCTGCTGTGTCATGGACATCAATTTACCTGCTTAACACTCCTGCATGAATTGCTCCTTTTTCCATATGTGACCATTAATCACTATGTAGATTAATACAAACACTATGTAAGTCTATATTGGTGTTCAGTAGAACTAGTTTTGGCCCAGTTTTTCAAACTATCTTCATATTCTGCTTATCATAATTCTAAAAATGGAAGAGAGGGAGCATACTTGTTAGGATCTAGAAGCAAACTACACATACTCGCTCATTAGAGGAAACATAAGCAAGGCATCGGAGTTTGGCCATATTATAATTTTTGTGGCTTTTAATTTCTTGGTTACCGTAGCAATTCCTGTGTTCAGAAGGACCCAAATGGGAAGAATTGGACAAGATGCACCATGCTTGCTCATTACCAGTGAGCCAAGAATTGTCAGCCATCCTTACTCTTTTGAGCAAACTTGACCATAATGTTTTACAATAAATTACAATCAGCAGATTTCCAAAATTTTGATCCCTTGGGAAGAGAGTATCTACTCATGATAAAAATGGTGAGGCAAAGCTGTGGCTTTAGTTAGTATATGTTTCAAAAACAGTATTATGTAGGGAATAAGAAAAAAAAGCCATGGGGAAAAGTAAAATGGGATGCAAAGTGCTGCTGACTTCTGTTTTCTTAAAATGATTCACGGAAAAGGGGCCATATTTGGAAATAGTTTTGAGCATACCACTTTCTTTGTATGCTCTTCTTTCATTCCTAGGCTAGACATCTGAAATAGTCATATTTGGGCTGATGGCATCTCCAATAACTGAGCACTTGATGTTGCCACAGTTGATGGACTTGAACCTCCATGTTGTCCTTTTATCCGAATATGTTAAGGATGCTAATAAAGCAAAGCACCTGTAACATTTTCCCATTTCTCCTTATGTTTTGTGTCCCCATTGCCATATTTTTCATGCACTCATATGAGGAATCTGGCCATCAAGATGAAAGATGAATAAATTGTTACACTGTTGATGTTTAAAATGCACATCCTCACACACGATCAGTTTACATTACTTTGTGGTGAAAATCCTGTTCATAACTTCTATTTTGGGGCTTGCTATGAATGTATACTTGGAAATATGCCTGTTCAGTCCATCTGGTACCACTTTTCTTCAACATAGCAAGACCACTGGCTTTAATTCCTTTAGATGCAGATTCTTTTTATTAACTAGGTTACCAGAAGGCAACATTTAATGAATACAGTGAAATGAAATATGAACCTTAGCAGCTGTAGTTTGCAGTGCAGGGATGCTTTTGTTAATATCAGACCAAACCAAAATAATGTAAATATTTGAGGGTTTTTCCAATCAAATGTAATTTAGGTAATGGGGGGGGGGGTCCCTCCCTGTGGGCATAGGCTTATACATAATTAGCATCTGGACCTTTATTAATAAAATGTCATACAAAGAAGATTGCTAAAGAAATCTTTTATATATTTGTATTAATATAAAAGAACTGTTTTGAAATAGCAAATGATTTTCTACAGAATTATTTTCAAAAATACAATTATTTAAGGATTTAAGGTAGTCTTAAGGGTTTGGGGCCAGTGTAGATATGACTTCTTCTGCTAACCAAGAACTGTTCTCTGGAATTTAATTTGATGCTTTTCTCCTTTTCTTCTGTTTTGTGACTGTATATAAAGGTCTCAGAAGATGAACTGTAACTTGTTTTTATTCAGAACCTTCTAGTTTGCAGGTGTTAGGAAAAAACAGATTATTTCAAGAGCTATTATTTTTGTCTTTTTGGCATTCAAGAGGTAAATTGTATCTCTGAGGGATGAATAGCCTATGCTGGAAAAGCATTTGTAATTACTAAAATATGACCTTTATTTACAATCGTATGAACATACTTCTAACTAGTATCTCAAGGAAGTTCTCAAGGGTTTAATGTCAAGGCTTTCCTTAACTATTCATCCATAAGCATTATTTATGTAGTGTGGGTGGATTCACCCATCTAGGTACTGTTGTCTGTTGGGATTGTATCAAAACTCAGTAGTCTATGGCTGCCATAGAATTGAAACTGTAAACCCATAATGGTATTTGTTTGGGCATTTATTCCTTTACTGTTATGTTTCACATCCTATTAACACACATGTTTTGATTTGATTACAGTAGAATGCTTTTCATACTCTTGAAATTTTTATTTCCCTTTTTTTACCATAATGAAATCTGAGGACAAGTTCTTTACCAGATCCCTTTCTATTTTTGATTCCCTTCCTTGTAGTCTAAATAAGTTAATTTGCACTGTCTCTTAGCTGTTTATATCCCTAATTTTTAATGCTGCCTGGTTATTAGGCTTTCTATGATAGATTTAAAAAATAATTTTATCTGGTTTTTACAATCTTTCAACAAAATGAAGCATCAACAAAACCAAATGTGCTGAGAATATAAAACAAGAGCAAAAACACAAAGTTATATACAAAAAAGAAAAGGGAAGGGAAAAAAGAACATACTGCTACACAGTAACAATCAGAGATGCATCTAACTGATCTTGAAAATATTATTAATTACACATACACACACAGAGGCGCAGGCAGGCAGTCTCTGGGTAACAAACGAGTTCTATTCCTGAGAAAATGGAAATTTGTTTTTAAGTTGAATTTGTATGTAAGTCAGATCGCATAAAGTACAGTCTCAGGGGTTGGGGTACAGGACCCCCACGAAAGTGGAAAAACCACAAATATCTTTACCTACCCCACCCAAACTCACCAGTGCCTCCTCTTTGCAGCAGAGAGAGGAGATTTCCCTCTCTGGATGGGTGAGGCAGGAAGGCATGCTTTGGAGGTCTCCCTCTCTGCTCTTTCATGTTCCTTCTCTCTATGGTAATGACAATTTTCCACAATAATTTTTTTAATGAATAGGTTTTATGGCGGTTTGTTCATAAGTACAGGTTGCTCATAACTCAGACTGCTGTTCCACATCACTAATATAGGTTGAAGTAGGTTGATCAAGTGTTGAGACAGAGTTGTTTTTGGTAGTATATTCTTTCATAGGATGTCAGTGTTTTGAGCTCTTCAGTCTGTTATGTGGTTGAGGGTGATGAATTGTCAACTCTGCAATATGAGTCTCTTAGCCATATGAGGGCTCTGCCAAAGGATATGTGATAGCATACAAATGTGTGTATAATTTTCACTTTGTCTTATTTAATGATTGATTTATCTGAGGGATGGTGACTTGCTAGGTTAGCCAAAGAAAAACCCATGCCCTCCAAATGTTTTGAACTACAACTTTCATAAATCCCAGCCAGCATGACCAGTTCTTGGGAATTATGTGTTGCAGTCCAACATGTCTGGAATACACCAGGTTGCTTACCCCTACCCTACACAGTCCTGCCCTTCTTACTTGCTTTTGGAGAACTGCATAAGTATTCTGTTTCCATTTGGAATAGTATGGTTTCTCTTAAGTGTGTGTGGTTAGAGAACTGTTAACAATGCTGATATATTTGTTTATTGCACAGGTACCATGGACAGGGTATCAGAGTAGGTTCGCAGTTGATCCTCGAGTCATTACTCATCAAGCAGCCATGGCATATAATGTAAATCTATTACAAGCACATGGGCGTGGATCTCCTATCCCCTATGGTCTTGGACATCATTCACCAGTTAGCGTAGGACAACAGCAGCAGCAGCAGCTTCAGCATTCAGAGAAAGAGCAACTTGAACAAAATCGAAACAGTGAGTAGGATTTTTTAAAAAACTAATTCTAAAACCCCAGGCATCTTGTTTGCAACTGAAATACGATTTTAAAATATTGTGCTAATATATATAAAATGTAGCTGATGCAACATTGGGACATGTTGCATCAGCCTTATCAATGTTCATAAGAAATGCTTGCATGAAAACTGGTGTTTTCATAGCAACGGAATGTGAAGATACAATGGTACCTCGGCTCACGAACGTCTCAGTTCACGACCAATCAGGTCGCAAACAAAAATTTCATTAAAAAATTGACTCGGGTCGTGAACTCTGCATTGGGTGGCAATCACGACCGCAGCCATCTCACCCCCCCCACGAGTGGGGAGATGGGCGCGATCGTGCTGGGGTGGGGGGAGATGGCCGAGATCACACCTGTCTTTCCTTAGGAGTGCAACTGCAATCTTGGCTATCCCCCCCCCCCCCCAGCACGATCATGCCCATCTCTCTCCCCCCCAGCATGCCCCGTTTGCGCCCGTCTTTCCCTCCCCCAGTGTGCCCCATTCGCATCCATCTATCCCTCCCCCAGCACTCCAGGATGACGGGCACGTGCAGGGATGACAGGCACGATCGTGGTTGTGCTGGGGGGGAGGCGGGGAGATGGCCACGCTTGTGCTCGGGTTGGTGGGGGGGAGATGGCTGCAATCTTTGTTGTTCCTTGTCACTTTGCTTCACATTTTTCTGATTTAAAAAAAAAAGGTTACAGAACGGATTAACCTTATTTACATTGAATCTTATGGGGAAATTTAACTTGGCTCACGACCAATTTGGGCCATGACCAGAGTCCTGGAATGAATTAAGTTCGTGAGCCAAGGTACCACTATAGTTAACTGCTGAACAGACCTGAGTAAAGTGGTTAAAAGGTTGACAAACAACTTAACCACAACTGGAGTGGTCAGATTCTTGCTCAGGTGCTTCATCCAGCCACCAGATGATTACAGATGTTATCCATCTCTTGGATTTTAGCGAAACTTCCTTGGCTGACTTATTTTTTCATCTAGGCAGTAGCCTCTCAGGACTGCTTCTTTCCAGTCTTTTGCCAGGGGTTCAGTTTGTTTTTATTATGAATGAAACATATTTTCTCAGTTCCATGAAATACATGAAATTTATTTTATATAGCAATATGTAGCAGGGGAACCTGTACTTTTAGATCCTTTTCGTAATTTATGCACCTTTAAAAATGTGACAATAAAACTGTAAATACTGGCTGCAGTCCAGCAGCTATGTAATCTGCTATCTCAGCCTGAAACTTTACCATTGTTGCTATGAATAGCTTGTGCCCTCTATACTTCATATTTAAAGATGATTCTTTCTAGTTGATATGCAATTCCCTGGCAGTGTAATAACACTTGTTTTAAAGTATGGTGCTTTTCCATATTGAAGAGATTTATTTCATTTATTTACTTACCTATTTAAAGCTTTTATAGAGTGTCCCTCTGCTAGCGTTTTGGGACAGTTTACAACAAACCACAAGTAAAATAGAAATTAAGATCCTATTAGATTTCTTTGTTCAGAATATGTTGTTGTTGTTGTTGTTGTTGCTAGTTGCGACCCCATTGACAACATTCCTCCAGGCCTTCCTGTCCTCTCAGAATAGGTATCTATATTAGCCATTAAAAATCAGTGCAACTTATAGGAAATTTGACCATGCTGTTTTATTTGCAGTATCACCAGTGTTGGACTAAAGGAGTTAGGCACCCTTGACATATTAAATACTGTGTTTCTCCTGTTTCATTTCTTTCTTAAACTTGGACCCTATTTTTACCATGTGTCTTCCACTGGCACCTCCTTCCCTGAGAAGGTGTGATGGCTATAGATCCCTTGCAGAACAACAATATCATGAAGTTCGCATGTTTCATTATGTAAGGAAACAATGAGCTGGGAAAGATTTATGCAGTGGAGTTAATTGGACAGAAATACAGATCTGCAAATCTGCCACTTTTTAAGTGGCAACTTTGAGAAGGAATCCTGCTCCCCTCAACATGAAGCATGCTTTTGTCCTGAAAATGCAGTACTCCTTCCTTAGATATGCTAGTAAGGAAGCATGAAGTCTTTTTGCATTTTCCATGATGCCACCATGAGAGAAATTATCTGAATCAACATGTTTTCTAACAACAAAATACAAAGGAAGAAACAGAGAAGGTTGGCCCATGGCAGGCATGTGCCCATGCATGGACGGCTCTCTAGGATGAGCAATAAGTCTTGAAGCAGGCCCTTGCCAGAAGTGCAGCTGCAATTGCATAAACATTAGGCTTGCCTGTATGAGAAGATTCTTCAACACAGAGCATTGATTAATACCAATTATGCATATCATTGTAAGAATTGTTATCCGAATCTTTTCAGTTTTTTAAAGCTCATATATAAAAATGCTTGTAAACTATACATAACTACTACGATCCAAAGCTCCTTGGGTTTGGTGTGCACATAGATCTACATGCACCTGGAGCGATGCAGTTGGAGAATGTAGTGGCATTCTCTATTGTGCACATAGAATATATCCAGATACTGAAAAAGAATAGAGCATCTGCTTGCACCTGTAGATATATTTTGGGGAATCTGAGGTCTCATTTGCACACTGGTACCATTGGATTGTAGTAGATATATTGTTGTGAAAATTTCATGAAGTAATCATTTTTAAATAAAAAAAAATGACAAATAGTGTTTGCTGTGCTCATGTTGTTAGCTCCACTACCTTTTCAAGAAGCAGGCTTTGGCTCAAATTGGGAAACACATCTGATGGGTCCATTATGAAACATTAAGCATAGAAATCCATAATGCTATTAGCATAAAATCTATTTCAGTGCAAGGCAGCTTTTTAATGCTGAAGGACTGAGTACTGTATCAAAATTGAAATTGCTCTGATTCCATTTGTGCTGTTAGAATGACTTCCCTTAAAGCTATGCAGTTCAAAAATCCACCTCATTAGCTCTCTGAAAAGCAGAGTTATCCATGTGTTGAGAGCTCAGGGTGCTGAGGTGCATATCCAAGAAGCTTCCTGCATTTCCCAATATTGTAGACATATGAGCTGTCACAGTACTGTGTCAGATGATGTTGTTATTCAAAAGTTAATTGGACACTAACGAGTTCATGGATACAGTCATGAGGAGAAACTTATTTAAATTCATGAAAGCTAATTCCAGAAGCAAATATGGCATGCCATCCCTAATTTCTGCCATAGTAATCTCAGAGGGGAAAGAGAGAAGAATATGCCAGAAAAATAAATTTGAATAGGGAAATTTTATTTCCTGAACTTTTAGTAGGGTTACTGGAGAAGAATAGATGAAATCCTGTGAAATTCACTTTGACACGATCTTCTGTCTCTTGATGATTGGGGTTTGTGCATGGAAGGTGCTAAATACTTCCAATTATTATAAAATAAACTGTTTTCACACAAGCTAGATTTAATCCTGTATTGATTTGATTTGGAAGCAAGGACCAGAGAATGAGCAGTTAAACTTAAAAAACACTTATTCCTACTGATGAATATTAGCATTCTGAATTTTAAAGAACCAGTACTGAAATTCTTGAGAGGTGGCCAATTTTAAAAAGCCAAAGACTTTATGATGCTATGTCTATGCTCGCTATCTCCACCTTGAAATCTATAATATATTATATCTTGGCCCATGTCCACCTACCCAGTGACTGAACTTGGATGTCACACTAAACTGCAGCGCTCATCTTCACTACACTTCTGCTCTAGCATGACTACAAGGAAAAGTTTGGAAGTTTCATTTCTTCTTCTCTTTAACATGTCCTCCAAACCCTAAACTACGGCTAATCTTAGCTATGGTTTGTTCAGATAAGCAAGCTTTATAACCCAGGGCTTGAAGTTGTTTGTTTTTAACCAATCAAGTTAAAATTAACCATGGATTGTTCAGTTAATTAAAAGAATGGAAATGAGGGCTCCCATTCTCCCCTTTGTGATTCTGTCAGAAGGTGCACTAGGCTCATTTTTGTCAAAATAAACTGTGGCTTATCTTGGACTCTAAATGCAACCAGAATATCATAGCCATTCTGAGGGATACTCATAGCTAAGAAGTTAGCTTGAACTTTGAGTTTTGGGTGGCTAGTACACCCAGACATTGCTGCTGGATCCTAATTTACCAACTATAGGCGGGAAAGATTCCTTGTTCTTGCCTTTGTAGAAATATGGGGATGAGGTGATAAAAACTGTTACTTGCCTACAGAAGGTTTAAATTTCTTCAAATGTTGTAGTCTTTGTATCAATCTTTGTCACAGCTGTTCTGTTGAAGCTGACCAGCCAGGAGGCCTTAAAATGTACAAGAAGAGTATTACAGAAGTCAATAACAAAAGAAGCAAGCACAATTAGAATACTGTCATTAGGGAGAACCAGCTTAATGATAAGAAGATTCCAAACTGACTATTCCTCCTCTTTTCAAAACTGAAATTATCAAACTGCATCTTCAGGGTGGATCGTCCTGCTTGAGTGTCTGCACTTCTCTGTTGGTCTGCCCTCTTTACCTGATGCCAGACCCTGAGATTAATGATGCTTGATCCACTCTTCGTGGTTCGTTAGTATGCTCACTCAGCTTTCTCAGAAAATCTGAAAACTATTTGATTCTCAATAACTGTGTATATCTCAATCCCCTGGCTTTGGCATTTCTAATCCCTGATCCACTCAGAATCTATTTGCACATCCCTTGCATGCATTTTTGCTGGAGGAATGGGTCTAATCCCTACAGTTCCTCCCTTAATGTTACTAGGTCCATACCACTAATTCAGGTAAATGACAGCACTGCCCCAGGCCTTCCGTATGACTTAGATCAGCCTTATCGTTGCTATTCACATTACTTCACAATGGAGTTAATACCACAGGGTCAAAACCAGAATATAATCCTCTCAGTTAGACGTTGTAAAACACAATGTTGCCAGAGTGACTTCCAACCCAAAAAATTAGAACTAAGTAACTTAAAATTTACAACAGTTGTGACAGATTGCAGTCACCTGAATAAAAACTCAATTTAATTGTGTTATATGATTGCACTTTCAACTGTGACAATTAGGTAGGTTGACCTATGTTGCCATATGACAACCTTGTCTTATGTTAGAAACCCCTAATTCAGCAGCATCTTGGATTCTGGATAAATTCCAAAAGGGCACTGCACAAGTTTCTAATTTTCATTTCTGCCTCATATCCAGGGTTGCATTTCTGATAAAAGACCTTTTTAAAGTGATCATATTGGAGTAAGTAATGCATGGAGGTTTTCTGAGTTTCTGAAGAGAAGCCTTCATAGCTTTAGGTTCCTGTTTGTGGACACATTTAGGAAATGTTGCAATCCCCACATGATATTTCCATATGCAGTCTGTTAAATTATTGTTTTAAAAAGGAGGAGGAGGACTATGTAAGCCTTGCAAGCCTTGGGTTCCTTGCAAGAGGAAAAAATGAGATATATAAATGTAATGCAATAATAATAATAATAATAATAATAATAGCCTTTCAGCAAGCACAGAATATTATGTTGGATGTAGTGGAAAGTTCAAAGGAGATAATTGGCCAGTTGTTGTTGTTAGTCGTGAAGTCATGTCCGACCCATCACGACCCCATGAACAACATTCCTCCAGGCCCTCCTGTCCTCCACCATCTCCCAGAGTCCACCCAAGCTCACACCAACTGCTTCAGTGACTCCGTCCAGCCACCTCATCCTCTGCCGTCCCCTTCTTCTTTTGCCATCTATTGTTCTCAGCATTAGGCTCTTCTCGAGGGAGTCTTTCCTTCTCATTAGGTGGCCAAAGTATTTGAGTTTCATTTTCAGTATCTGGCCTTCTAAAGAGCAGTCAGGGTTGATCTCCTCTAGGACTGGCCGGTTTGATCGCCTTGCGGTCCAAGGGACTCGCAGGAGTCTCCTCCAGCACCACAATGCAAAGGCCTCAATCCTCAGTATGTAACTTATAGTGATGACAAGAACACACAAGATGCCTATAATACCTTTGGTCTCTGTGCAAGTGCAAATAAGATATATTTAAGGAAAGTTAAGATCAGTATGTTCACATATTCTCTAATTGATGAAGATTTCTGTGCTTTGTAAGATAGTGTGGGAAAATAGATTGATTTCCATAGATAGTTTTTTATTTAGAATAAGGTGAAATTCTAGGAAGGTATTTATATATGATCAAGTAGCAAATGTCATTAGTTTGAAATTTCAAGACAGGTTTTTGTAGTTGCTTATCCTTTTAAATCTATTGCAAGATTTTCCTCGTCAGTGAGGAGACAAAGCAATTTTTTCAGCTTCACCTTGGGGTGCCAACACTTTACATTTATCCTGTTCCTGAAATTACTTTCCTTTGTTCATGTAAGGAAATGGCTGTGGTCATATAGCCTTGGAATGGTGGAATGGTCAGAAAGCAAGGGTGAATGACACGTCTGCTGAAGGCTTCTTGGCAGTGCATATATCTTTGCCTCATGATAAAGACCTGAATCTGTGACTGTTTTCTAGATATCCCCTTACATATATGTGTTTTCAGAGTCTGGATATGGAATAGTGGTGCAAGTAACTTTTTCAGAGTCATTTGCTCTTTTATTTCCCTGCATGATCGTTTTGACACTAGGGCCCTCGTTCCTAGAGTGCTCTTGGATTATCCACACTGTGAGGATGAGTTCTGAAATAACTGCCAACAGTTATTAACTGATAACCAGCAAAAATGTTGACTAACTAAATAGTTTAATATAAGGAACAAAGAACAGTGCAGGGTTTCCTGGCACTACACTTATCTAAAAGTATGTTCTGTGTTAGATTTATGGTTTCCTAGAAGCAAAAACTATTAGAGACCATAGCCATGTTCACAGGATCAAATTTTCAGCTTAATATGCCAAGATATGCACAAGCTTCTTGAACTTGCATACAGCCACTTTTCTTCCATGTTGCTCTTCCTTCCCTGGGAGCAGGTGAACGGGCCAGGATGCCACAGTTAACTACAGTATCCTATTATTTCTGCCCCAAGAACTATGATTACTGGTTTCCAAAGAAGATGGGAAATAGAAGCCAGCTTTAAACCGTGGCTTCATATTCTGACTTCTTCACAGTTCATTTAAACAATGTTCAGATGTAACAAGAACATTATAAGCCGCCCAGAGATCCTTTTGGCTAAGGGTGCTGCATATAAATGTAATAAAGAAATGATAAATAAATAAATCAGATTTTATGGTTAAACGTGTCTCCTTGTTTGTTTCACTGCTCACACAAGGGGAGGTGTAAAGAGACTGTGTGTAAGTACAGAAAGCTCCTGCATAGCTTGGCTTATTAAACCAAGATTTAATTGTCCAAATCGTCCATTAATCATCCACTAAAAAGTGTACTACCCAGAACAATAAACTTAAGCGAATAGCACTACCAGCTGTTAATTTAAAATACTGTTCTAACTGCTGGTTATAGGACAAAAAAGAAAGATCTACTTACCTATATTGCAGTTACTTTTTTAACACATGAGCTTTTAAAAACATTTTTTCTATATACATCATTTTTAAAAACTGACAGTATAAAAATGGAATTGTCACTCTTCTTTCAACTCAGCATTGGGTCATAAAGCATAAGTGTCCTATTTTGTAAAGTACGTGTAATGGGTGTGTATTAAAGCTGTCTCTGTGGAATTATTTTCTGGAAAATGAAATGGAAAATCATTTTACCAAGAGAAAATAATTTTTTCTGCAGTGCCCTCTAAAATCTACTTTCAATTGTGAAGTTTTAAACAAGAGCATTGTAGACTAAGAATTATCATTTTATGGTCAATCTAAAGCACTGAGTTTTATATAAAGTTTTAGTGTAAAGTCATCTTTTCTTGATTGGTAGTGTAAGCCAGAGGATAGAGAATGTCATGGAAAGATTATCATACTCTATATGGCTAGCAGGAGAAGTTAAAATACAGTTATACAGTAATTTTATTTGTGTGTGGGTATAATTTAAACTGAACTGTGAAAATAAATATGCTTTCTTTTCATTCTCAGTAAGTAAAAATCTTTATATATTTAGGCAAAAATGATCCTGGCGTTGGACCTGAAATCAGTAAAATTCGGACACCTGAGAAAAAGCCTATGGAAGTCAAACAGGTATAAGTTCCTTACTTCTCTTTCTGCTCTTATAGATGACACTTGTCATTCCCCAGGGTGCATTCACTGATAGAATTATGGGCAAGGTTCAGAAAAGGTAGTCCGTTAGAGATAGAATATCAGTGATGAAAGTAAATTGTATATATAGGGATAAGGAAAGCTTACAATGTAATGGCACAATGCAGAATTCGGATAACCAGGAAAAAGTAAGTGATAAATTGCAATTCAAAGTTTATAACTACTTTTGGTAAAGGCTAAAATTCTATAGATGGATGAATGGAAGTTCAGAATAGTTCAATCTGTAGCTTGTGAAAATAGGGACTGACTGGTAACTGATTACCAGTAAAACACAGCTTTTCTACATGAATGAGTTTTTTAGACGCGATCACAATCCTCCAATTTTGTGTATTTTTCCAGATCACTTCCTCTCCCAACCCTTTTTTTTAAGAACAGGGAATATGGGGTATTATTTCTGAAAGTGCTGTTTTTACTTGTGTGTTTTTGCTGTTGCACTGTAGTAGCATAGCTCCACAGAGGCTATGAAGCAGAAGGAGAAGCTCTTTGTGGAGCTTGGATTTCAGTTCTGCAATATAATTGAACAGCGGTACTGTGATTAACAGCCTGTACAAAAAAGCTCCTGATTAGGGACAGCATCAGGTTTTGCATTACCTATGGCACTGCCCTCTTTTGGGTGCACCAGTACCCTCTCGTTGCTAGACTGTGAAGCAGGTGGCACCCTGCCTTCATCTTAGCTTGATGGTGAAAGGCAAGTGCTCTCTGTTTTAGTTCCCACGCATTACTGACTCCTGATGTCAGAGTATTGACTGGAACAGTGTTGGTTTTGTGCCCTAGAGGCATTGTAGGGGAATTAAGATGGATGGTGCCATTTAAATTCTAAGTTTTATTCGATGTCATCCAAGTTCCAGCACTGAGCTATGCTGAGTCCAAGTGTGCGTAGCTAACAATTGGGGTAGGTGGCAGTATAGACCATTGGCCCTTCTGAGGGCTTTTGGCAGTCACCAGCTGCTCTGTGATGCTGGTTTCTGGCATCAAGCCTGTTTAGTTTCAGGACATCTTTAAGGCCCAATACTTCTGCAGAGGTTTGGGAATATAGAGAACAATTTCATTAGGAGACATATACTTGAACAAGCAGAGTGCTTCAGGATTTCTCTTTTTACCTGCCTGTCTTACAGACTTCACTTCAGATATGCCTTGTGATTTTGGAATTCAAAGACTTGGTAGATGATTCCTTAGACTTTCGAGAGCTAAATTCATGGTCACTGTTTGGTGTGGCTAGCATTTTAAAAAATAATTGTCCAAACAAAAATTGATTGCTGAAAAAATTGACCTTTGTTTCTCCTAATAATTTCTGAACTTGCTACACTAAGGCATGGCACATAAACGCTGATTTAAGATATACTATGTTTAAAGATTTTGATCCACTTTTCACTATGTAAAGTGTAAATTGATACCTATATTTGTGTGAAAGATTAAATAAGCCTCAACGTTTTTTGTATGGAGGAATAATTTCAGATGGGAATAATGGTAGAATTTACTCTGAGGAACAAATAATGAATAATCAACCAATGACCCAAAACAAATTATGTCAGCCTTGTAGTAAACAAAGAATGGCATTTTCATGATTCATTCAGTGCCTTTGTCTTGAAGTCAAAGTAAAAGCATTATATGATAGTTCTAAAATATGTTACTGGTTAATTCATTTCTGTGATAATATTGGGAGTGGATATCAATGTTGAGAAGGCCTGAATACTACTGCCATTGATTTTTGTAGCTTATAACTACCAAAATAGATACTAAAAAGTCCTTTTGAGTAGGAAAAAAGATTCTGATTCACAAATATAACATGAAGTCACATAAAAGTTTTAAGATCATTTGATCAAGTAGAATTCTATTGGAAGGGTCTGTTTTCAATAAAGAAGAGATGGCGCAGTTTGCCAGTGTAAGCAAATGATGAAACATTGTGAACAATCCAGCATGCTAGATTCCACGATTTGATTGTTCCTGTTTAGCTCCTCATGCCAGCAGGAGCAGCTAAGCAATCTAGGACTTGGGTGGGGTTTTTTTCAACAACAACAACAACTGAGTTGTCATTGCATGCAAATTGGGCCAGTGTAATTATGATTTACAGTAACTTTTCTTCACTTATAACCTTGTTCTTCCCACTTTCCTTTAGATATCACATGCTTGATTCAGTGTTAAAGTAATTTTGCTTGGTACACTCATAGCTTACGGGGATTTGTTAAATTTGTTTTCTGAAATGATTTTTAACTCAAATAATTTGTGTAATTTCCTCCAGGTTGACTTAGAAGCAAATCCCCAAAATAGAAGCCCGGAATCACGTTCCAGCACAACTTTTCCCAGTTCTAAATTTCACCGTAAAGATAACCTTAACCCCAGGCAGCTGAATCTTCATCTCACCCCTCCTCATGCTCAGTATGCTGTTCCTAATCGCCATTTTCAGCACCTGTCTCAAATTCCAAGGCAGCCATATCCTGTACAACAGCAGCAAAACCTCTTAAGTCATCAACAAAACCATTTGCCTGAACAGCAAAACCAAATGCATCCACAACAAAGCCAGATAGTCCAGCAGCATAATCATTTAAATCAGCAGCCGCAGCCATCTTCACAGCTTTCCCCTGCCTATCAAACAGGCCCCAATCAATCTTTCTTTAAAAACCCTGTGCCACCCAGGCCTCATTCCCCCAGTGTAGATGGTGTGATTTCAGAGCAGCATCCTCCATCTCTCTTACAAGAGGTCAGTAACCCCCTGAGACCCATTGCACAGCACAACCCAATGATGCCATCCCACTTGAACCACTTCGTGGAAGAGAATCCTCCAGGGATGCCTACAGGAGAACCATTAGGTGGGTATCATTGCCACATTCCATGGATTAGGAATGCAGGATAATTACCCTATACTGGAAAATGTGCTTATCTTAGGTTTTTGTCAGATGGTGATTTTCAATTCTGAATTTGTTGCGGGGTGGCGGATTCGCTTGGGGAGTGCTACAATATTTGTTTCTGAAATTCCAGATTTGTATTTTTGCTATGTTAGGCAAGAATGCCATTTCAGTGGCTGCACCTGCCTTCTGGAGTTACTTCCTAAGGCAGGCTTTGCTCACCCATCCTCTCATGGCTTTCTCTAGAGTAATCAAAACCCTTTAAAAGAAGGCCTTCAGACTATAAATGGCCACTCCCTTTTAAAAGTGGTTTTGATTGCTGTGATTAAATTACTTTTGGTTGTTGCTTGCATTTTTAAAAAATCCATTTGCTGTTTTAGTGATCTGAGTTTTATTGTATTGGTTGTGAATTTTTTAAAAAGTTAAGCTATACTATTAATCCCCTGTTTTACCGAGGAAGGACAAGGTATATATGTTTTAAATGTATGATGCAGTGCTTAAGTGTGCTGGACTAGGGCTCATGAAATTTGTGTTCTAGTCCCCCACTCACTGGAGCTCACTGGTTGGCTTTGGGCTGATCACAGACTCTCAGTTCAACCCACCACAGAGGCTTGTTGTTATGAAGGTAAAATGGAGAGGAGGAGAACCTTGTAAGCTGCCTTAGGCTCCTTTCAAGAAGAAAGATGTATGTGGCAAATGGATGTTGATTCTCCTATGTATTCTCCTAGCATTAATCATAGAATTGTAAAGCTAAGAAATAATGTAAAGGTCTTTACTCCATTGTCTCTAGTAGTCCACTATTTGAAAGCACTCCTAACAGAGCACACAGCTCTAGATTACAAGTGATTTTGGTTGCAATGGTCTTGATTCTTAAACCATGATCTAAATAACTAGGAATAAACATTGGATAAACTGTGGTTTAATGTCAGCTTGCTAGGATCAAACTGTGGTTTAAGATTCTAATTAGTTAGTCAATCTTAAACTACAGTTCTCCATTTTGGATCATAGAACACTAGAGTTAGAAGGGGCCAAGAAGGCCATCAAGTCCAACCCCCTGCTGTTGCAGGACACCAGTTTACACCTTCCCATTCAGATGGCTGTCCAGTTTCTTTTTGAAGGTCTCTAGTGTGGGAGATCCCACGACCTCTCTGGGCAACTGGTTCCACTGTCGTATTGCTGTGACATTGTTGAAACTTTTCCTGATACCTAGCCTAAACCTGGGTTTTTGCAACTTGACTTGATTATTCCATGTCATACATTCTGGTATCAGTGAGAAGAGATCTTGACCTTCCTCTTTGTGGCAGTCTTGAGGAACTTATAGAGGGATATCATGTCTGCCCTCAATCTTCTCTTCTCAAGGTTTAACATGCCTAGTTCTCTCGAGTCTGTCCTCATAGGGCACGGTTTCCAAACCCTGGATCATTTTTGTTGTCTTCCTCTGAACCCTTTCTAATTTTTCTGCATCTTTTTAAAATCTTGGTGCCCAGAACTGGACACAGTATTCCAGATGGGGTCTGAATATTGAGGAGTATAAGGGAGCTATTACTACTACTTGTGATTTGGAAGCAATGCTTCCATTAATGCATCACAAAATAGCATTTGCCATTTTGGTGGCTTCACACTGTTGACTCATACTTAGGCTGTTGTCCACAATTACTCCATGGTCTTTTTTCTTTTTCAGTTCTGTTGAGCCACTTGTTCCCCATCTTGTATCAATACATTTGATTTCTTTCCTAGGGGAAAGACTTAGCACTTGGAGGACTTAGCACTTGTCCATATTGAATTTCATTCTGTTGCTTTCAGCCCTGTGTTCAAGTTTATCAAGAAGTAGGAACTGAGTGCCTCTGCCTTTTCCTTGTTGTCTGTTATCACTCTGCCATCCACTTTAAGTAGCTGGACACCTTTCTCTTTCACATGTCTTTTGTTTTGGATGTATCTGAAGAAGGCTTCCTTGTTCTTGCTATTCTCGGTTCGTTTCCAAACTTTAGCCTTCCTAATGCCATCCCTGCAATTCCTTGCTATTTGTTTATACTCTTCCTTTGTGGCCTGGCCCTGCTTCCACTTCCTGAACATGTTCTTTTTTAATTTCAGGCTTCATTTAATTTTTTTCTAGAGCCACATGGGCTTTCTCTGTCTGCTACACTTTTTTCTTTTTGGAATTTTTTATAGTTATGCTTGGAGAAATTTATTTTTTTCAAGATTTCCCACCCCTCTTGAACTCCTTTTCCTTAAGAGTGAGTTGCTATGGTATTTCACTTATCATTGTTCTGAATTCATCAAAGTTGGCTTTCTTTAAGTCCAGCATATGTGTTTGACTACAATTATCCTTTGTCTCCTTTATAACTGAGAATTCGAGTTTTGCATGGTCACTGTCCCCAGAGTTCTCATCCCTGTTAGTAAATATTAAATCGAGGATAGCTGATCCTCTGGTTCCTTCCTCTAACTTCTGCTGGAGGAAGTTGTCAGCAATGTGGGTCAGGAATCTCTTGGAGGGGCCATGTTTGGCAGAAATTGTTTCCCAAGAAATATCAGAGAAATTGAGGTCCCCTGTGATGACTGAATTGTTCTTGGAAAGGCTAGCAAATTGCTTTTCGATGGTTTTTGAATGAGTGGTCAGTAATAGACACCAATACATATATTTTACTTATTTTTTGCTCCCTTTAAGCCAGATGCTTTCTGGGCTACTCAGTTCTTATTGTATTTCTGTGCAGCTATATAACAGAGATAACGAAGAACTGTGAATCAAGTAGACGAGGATTAACTGCCAAAGCTGGTACATGACAGGGGGACAGGAACTTGCTGGTCTGCCACTTGTTCCCAATTTAATAAATGAATGTTTCCAAGCCAAGAGATGTTGGGGCTATGAGAGAGTACTGTAAAATACATAGATGCTGACACCCTTTTTGGAGCACTACCTTAGTATTACTGTGTATCAGGTATATAGATTTCCAGTATGCAGGTGAGCCCATGACTGCTGAGATGTCTTTTAGTATAAAAGATGAGATGTCAAAGGTATAAAGATTTGAAGTTAATAACACAGAAATTTACTGCTGTTTATCCAGTTATCATATACTATTGTAAAATGCAGTTTTCTGACAAGAAGAGCTTAAATGCAGAAGCTGGGTAATTTTTTCCCCCAAATGTTTTCCAGATCGTATTCATGGAAATTTAGCTTTGGAAACCCTAAGGCAACAGCAGGCAAGATTGCAGCAGTGGAACGAGCATAACGCCTATCTCAGTCAGGGCAATATTCCTTACTCTCATCATCATCATCATCACCCTCACTTGACCCACCTTTCTCAGCAGCCAATTGGTCTGCATCAACAGCCAGTTAGGGCAAACTGGAAACTTGCCAGCAATGTAGAAGAAGAACCTGAAGCAACATATTCGAGGTAATTGTGGAATGAAAGTAAAACCTTGAAACATTGAGGCAGAAGTGAGACATTTGTCACTTTAATTGTAATAACCTATTGGTGTGAGGCTCCCAAAAGCTAGTTGACTCATCCCTTCTACAGGATGCACCATTTAAGTGGTTTCCAGAACACTTGTTCTGGCAGGCCAAATTCAGATGCCCAGCTTTAAAAGACAAATACCATAAAAGGGCTGGAAAAGCATAAATTCCCCAAAAAGCCCAGATCTTTTAATACAGTGGTGGCATCTAGAACTTAAAAGAACTAATAAAAGCATCTAATGGTTAATCTGTGGTTGGGGCAAGAAGGATCAATCAAGGATCAGACAGGGAGGAAACTTAATAAGGTATCATGCCCCTTAAGATCGGCAGGGGAGGCCTTGCTCCGGGAACCCTCTTTGAAGGCAGTATGGAGGGTATCCACCCGGAGGAGGGCCTTCTCTGTGGTGGCCCCCAGACTATGCAATATGCTCCCCAGAGAGGTCCGCTTGGTGCCAATTGTTTATTCTTTCTGGCGCCAGGTAAAGACCTTTTTATTTAACCATCATTTAAATAATTAATATAATTTTAATAGTAATATTAATTTTATACAGTCGCATTTTTTCTTTTTTTCTTTTTTTTCCTTTACTTATGAAAAGATATATTGTTGTTTATGTTATATCATTGTTGAATGTTTTAATGTTATTTTATCTTGTTATTTTTGTCCTCTGTAAACCGTCCTGGGGCTCGTTGCAAAGGATGGCATAGAAATGTTTTTATTAAATTATATTAAATCAATCAACCATTTTCAGTAACAGCACCTCAAATGGTTGCATTAACTGCAACTGACCTTCTGTCATGCTTGTTGTACAATAGTAACACCTCAAAGTATGCTTGTAGTGAAAGCAAAATATTGCCAAGATATATCAGAGTTTGTGCTGTAAAATTAAAATTAACAGTAAAATTAATAGATAAGATATAGTGGCATTTTGCAACCTTGCAAGGAATGAGAGACTGCTAAGAAGATAGACATAAAGAACTTGATTTGTCTGTGAAACACTATTATAGACATTCACTGTAATTTAATTTGTAGCCTCTCTGTCTCAGGAACTTAGGTTAGGTAACCTCAAAAGAGCCACAGTGGGTTATTTGCAAATTTAACTTTAGAAGTAAATGAAGGAAAAGCAAAGAACAAACCAATTGTTATGTATTAGCATAAATGTGATGAAATCCAGTGGCTTTTCACTCTCAGGTGCCCTGAGCATCTATTACCACTGTAGATTTTGGAGAACTTTTCCATTATGACCTAATCATCTTTTTAAAAAACCATTCATAAAGAGTTTTTACACAGGACTTTATTTGTCTGTTTCATACTTCAACTATTTGAGGTGAAAACCTAGGTTAGAAGCCTGGTATGCATTTAAATGATTGGGATATCTGGAGGGCACACTCTCAACAAATCGCACATGGATGTTGCACAACTACATGGAAGGCTTATCAGTGATTGTTCATAAGATTCTTGCAACCATGAGAAAATGTTATATTCCTTCAGTTTCTCATCTGGGCATTTATTATCTTAATACAGGTTCCAGGATTTTCTCCGAGAACTATCACATCGTGAACAAAATGAAAGCAGGGACCTAGTTGAAATGCCACCACCTCAGTCAAGACTTTTGCAATACAGACAAGTTCAGCCCAGAAGCCCACCAGCACTCCCCTCCCCTTCCTGCAGTTCAAACCACAGTGGCCATTTTCCTAACTTTGAGAATAGAAATATTGAAATATCCAACAACCCAGCATTTCAGCAGCATTTGCCTCAAATGTACAATCCCCCTTTTTCAATGCCATCAGAACACATAGCTGCACCTTCTTTGAAATATCTGCAATCCGATGGATCATGGACCTATGCTAACATACACCAGAGTCATCTAATGGGGCAAGGCTTTCATTATGGTATACCTCCATTGCCTCATAGATCACAGCAGAACCCTTTTATACAAATACAAAATCATCAGCACATGGTTGGTCAGGAACCATTTCACCCCCTCACATCACGAGCAGTATCTGCTTCTTCGCTGCACAGCTTAGAAGAGGTATGTGGGTTGCAGTATTTGCATTCCTGTCCATTATGCCTTAATGTAAAACTGATTCGCTATTCCATGGTAGTAAATTCTAGCTTTGGAGAAGGCCTTGTATAATCTTACTGGTTCAGTTGCTTTTACTATTGCTTGATTTTTATCAGGTTATTGGATGGTCCAGGAGTAATTATTTTTCAAGAGGTAAAAAACCATATCCACAAAGAAGATTTATCTTCTTTTTGCTGTGCTGAGTTTGGACATGCTTTTATATGAAAGAAAACTGAAGTACTTAACAAACTAATGTTTTACTTTATTGTTTATTAACATTATTTCAATAATGTCATGGTTACATACATGGTGTTAGAATGTTTGCTATTTAAAACTATGTCTACATAACTAACAAAGCCCAAAATATAAAGGTAAAACAAAACAAATCAGTAAAATACCGTTAGGACATTTTAGCTCAGGCAATCTCTTATTAACAAGAAAATTTACTCCCACATGCTCTCAGATTTTTTTTTTTGGTGTGCTGGGTACTGAGTTCAAACTTTAAGGGTAGATTGAATGGTACTCTTGGTAACTACTGTACGTAATGAACCTCTTCACTTGGAAGTTCAGCCAAGCTCTAGTTGAACATGTCCTGGAAATACTTTACTTGGGTAGTTCATAATGAATAGAAAAAGAGGATGAAAATATTGCTTTCAGTTATGCAAGGTTACTTTATATCTCAAATGAAAGCACTGTGTAGAAAAATGATACCAAGTCCTACTGTGTTCTTCTGCTTGTGCAAGAGCTTGCAGAACCACAAGAACTTCAGCAGAACTTGACCATGATCTGACTGTGTATTTCTTCTGCTAGAATGTGTGTAAGGGTTTGCAGAAGAGAAGTTGGAGCACTTTTTTTCTAACCAGCATTCTTTGGATTAACAGCAACACCCTCCCCACCCAGGTTCTTATTTTATACTGCCTGAACTACATGGATCCAAGGAGCAAGGCTGTCTCCATACTTAGCTACTATCTTTGAAGGCTGCATAGGGGCATTGATACCATTATTATCCTTGGTCCTTCTGCCTGGATTTTTCTACCATAAATGCCTATGGCTATGTGTCCAGCTAAGGAAGGCAGTTTGAGTTACATCTCTGCATTATTTGGTTTAGTTAGACTGTCGATCCAGTTCTAACCATATTTTGTTCCCCAGTAGGATCTAGCTAGTTGCTTGTTTGTCCCCTTGCCACATGTAAACTCTTTTTTACTACATTCCAAGGGTGCCAGCTGCCTTAGAGTCCATGTGCACTGGCTGAGGGAACTTTCCAGCAAAGTGGAGCGGCCTCACTAACAACTTGAAAACTTACCTTGTGTCTAGGGCAAGGTCTGGGCCCAAAAGAACCCTGGCTTCAATGTGAGCACATTTTTGATCTCTAGCAGAAGAATAAGAAGGATTGAATTGTGGCTGAGGTGGACAAGTCCAGTTTAACCCATTAGGAATCTAGATTCTCTTTCTTTGGACTGCAGGCCCTGCTGTGGCAGAACAGTACTTCTGTTGCAGAACAAATGCTTGGACTTAGTTGGCCTCTTTGCTTTATGAAGGTCATGTGTGGAGATATTAAAGTGATGGACAAATTCCTTAACATTTCCTTCTAGAATTAAGAGTTTGCAAGATCATGGATGTTCAGATTACCAGTGGGAAGGCAGGAGGGTCTTGGCTCCATTGGGTACTGTTCTTAGCAGGCTACAGAAAAGGCATGTTGGTGCTTGGGTACTGGATTATGTTTCTCTCCACCCTGTTCTACAGTAATTCAAGTATGATTATTTTATTTTAAATAACATAGGTCTGGATCTGTTCTGTTCATGGAAGGAGCTTCTGTAAATGCAAAGGGAGCATCTGTGAGCAGAACTCCCATGAATGGAGTTTAAATTTTGATCCAAGGCATCATTTTATGTATTTTGGAGGAGAAGTGAGGTGTAAAGTCAAATGCTTGTTTATACTCAAGTAACTATAATTGATTACCAGTCAATTAACTTATTTAAAACATTTTGCCTGCACTTCAGCTGAAAGTACTCCCACACTGGTTTACATGGGATAAGAGAAATAAGACAGTTTTTTATTTAATAAAGCCAAACTCAGGCACCAATTTTTACAGATATATAGTAATTCTCATAATGACTAGCTTGAATGATCACCTCAGCTAAATTCTGCAAATAATCCTGCTTATATTAATTCAGAGAAAGGAATAATAGAATCCTAGATTAGTAAGGTTGGAAGGTGCCAAGAAGGCGATTGTGTTCAACTCCCTGTTTAGTGCAGGACTCCAAGTTAAACCATCTGCCTTAGATGGCTGTCCATCTGCATCCTGAATGCCTCTAATGTGGGAGAGCCCACTATGCTGTTGACATACTCAAGGATGATGATGCGAAGTTTCAGCAAGGGATGTCTATGAGTATTTCAGTGTGTCCGAATGACTTGTGCATGAAGTTGTTCAGGTTCATTCTAGACTTTGCATATATTATAGAATACCATGTTGACACATTAAGACTGCGGATTTGTGTTGATCAGAACCAAATAAAATACCAGAACCACGCATTATATTTATAAATACAGAGCCACATTTGTTGTTGCCAAGAATTGCTACTTGCTTATGATTATTACTGCCTTAAATTTGTGTTTTTATATCTTAGCTGGGGACTCAGCATTAGTTATAAATGGGAGAATACCTGAGTCCATGCTCAACAGGACATACTGAGAAAATTACTGCCATAAGGCTTCTTAATTTCAGGAACACAGTTGGGATCAGGACGCTGCTGTTTTACAGATGCACAAAGAAACATTCACCAAATCTTTGTTTTTATGTTTGTAATCCTAGCTAGTTTTAAACAGATTTTTGTCACAATGTCAATTTTTATGAAAAGACTGAAAGCAATTAGGGTTTGGGTATGTTTCATTCATCTAGACAGCTCTTTTCAATATGTAAAATCCAAAGTAAATACATTTTAATAGGTACCTCTGAATGCAAAAGAACTTAACTTGTTGGTTAGTATTTGCTCTTTTTTCTGCTGAACAGTTTGAAATAGCATAACAGTTATCTGCAGCTTCTTAGCTTAGTAGCTTGACTCTGGTTGCATGGTGTGACATGTGCACTGATGTAGCAGGGGACGTTGGAAGGGTAGACAACCAGATTAGCAAATCACAAATCTCCCCTTCAAAGAATGATGCCGGTGCCACCTCGTTGGGTTGGACCCTGGTGTACTCCAACTGAGCTGGAGTAATTGGAGGATGGGATGGAAAGGCTTGAGTTGGGGGTGTGGCTGGAGGGGATGAGGTGGTCAGAGCAGCTGCGCAGTTTGGTGAGCCACAATGCTCAGAACAGGCAGGAGAGTGGTGCTGCACTCTTTTCAAGTGCTTAGGCTTTCAGGCCTTTTTGGCCTGCTTAGAGCCCTCAGACTCAAGGTGTTTTCTCTTCGCCATATGTTTCTTAGGCATATTGGAGGTAGCCAATGGTTTCAAAACCGCAGAGGACTGCTTTGGCTTTCCTGTAGCACTGGTCAGTAGGTGGTTTTTTGCGGCCTCTTTTGAAGTTGAGGGGCTTTCAGCCTCATCACCACTGACTTCTTTCGTGGCACCCACAGCACACTCCCACATATCTCCATCCTGAGAGGACCAGCCCTGCTTTTACAGTGTGGGCACTTGTTCACATGATGTTCCTCCCACAAGCAGAAGATGCATAAAGATTGGTCATTGGTGGAAGGCATCTTAAAGCTGCATTCAGCACTTACAAAACATTGATTTGAACACCATCAGGGAGGAAAAAAGGAAGACAAGGTGTAAGGGTATGAGAGAAAGACGATAGAAGGGTTGGCATAATTTTGTGAGGGATAGAAGGGGATTTCAAAAATGGAGGCAAGGAAATGTGAGCAAAAAGATTGGAAAAATGCAATCAGAAGCTCAAGAAGGTGGTAAGAAATACAATAAAGGTTTTTGCGAGGAAAAGGCTGAGGTAACTGTATAGCTAGAGATCCCAAGGCACTGCAAATGGCTCTCGAAAGCGAACTGAGAAAATGTTGGGCCTATTTATATAATAGGAAAAGGGGGGGCTCCCCCAAAAAATTCTAGGCTTAGCTAGAGGAATCTTCCTAAGTGTGGCACTGCACAGGTGCATAATAATATCGTGTTTGTTTAATGATATTTTTAAAAAGAACGAATTTTGAAGAAAGAAGGCACAAAGAGAACTTAAATGAGGAGAAGAGAGAGATAAAACACAAAAAAGACACATATTAGAAAAATTAATACTGGGTCCCATGTGGTAAGATGGGATTAAAGGAAAAACCCAGGTGGACGGGCACACAATGCTGTTGAAAAGATTTGTCACCCTCTTTGTTTGGGATTTGTCATTTTATGAGGATGTAGAAATTGAGCTCCTTCAATGTAGAAAACCTTTCCTCGCCAATCCTAGCTATTTTTCTCCTATTAGGTACTGGATGGGGATATTTTCCTGCATTTTTCTAACCATTAATTTCCTCAAGTGGCATGGTACTTAACACTTTGGTTTGAATATGTAAATAAGAATGATTGAATGAATGAATAGTTTGAAAAAAATATTTTCCTTTCCAGATTGGCAGCTGAATTGCTCTGTTGCAACAAAAACACAAGGTGTTAGTCATCTCTCTTCACATTTGCAGAATAGGGTGGGCAAAAGATAGAGGATTTGAATAGAAATATTGTTAGAAATGAATATCGCATGTCTCTTCATGTTTTTATATACACACACACAACACATATACACATCTACACACATATATATACACACCCATCCATCCCTCCATACATACATTCATCTCTTGCCTACATCTTACAGAATACAGTGGTACCTCAGCTCACAAACACCTCAGTTCACGACCAAATCGGGTCACGAACAGAAATTTCAGAAAATTTTTGCCTCGGGTCGCGAACTCCACATCGGGTGACAATCGTAATCGTGCTCGTCTTCCCTGCACGGGTGCAACCACGGTCGTGCTGGGTGT